ATTCCGGAGGGGAACGTGTATCTTCGATATTTCAGAAGTTTTCGTGCCCGAGAATGATTTTATTACGAATCGGGTCTCGAAGCTGCGTAATCTATCAGCGAATTCGACGCTTTGCCGATGCTCCACGAAGAACAATGAAAGCGAGGAAAGCAACACCAAGATCCCCGCACGTTGGCGAGTACATCAAGCACGATACCGTTGATCAAGGCGAGGGTGGACCAAATTTTTGCCCGCTTTCGAGAGATTTTTAGCGTTCAGCATCCGCGAAGGGATAAATGGAGCGGCATGCATCGAAAAGAGAGGCGTCGCAACGCCTGAAAGCGACGTATCACGTAGTCCATGAAAAAGTAAAACGAAATTACCGAATAGCACGTCTGGTCTCGCCCACTCGTTCGCGTTTCGATTAGCTAGGAATCACTGAAACGCTTGCAGAGGTCAATGGAAATGTTTTCACTTTCGGTAGAATGGAGCAAAGTAAAAGTATCAACGGATTTCAAGATATCGTATACAGACGAGGGGCTTCGCTTTCTCTAAACCCTTTTACCATCTACGAGTTGCGCCCCTAAAAATACCTGCACACTCTGCAAGTACGCTACGCGAAATAGTTTCGGCGGTAACGAAAGCTAAGCTTAATGCAAAATAATACGCGACGTTCCTAACTTGAAAGCATTGATATTTCAAAGGTGTATCAATTTCCGCGATCGCGAAATGGGTTTCCGGGCAACCGCCGCGATCTCGCTTCGATGTACTTCGATCTCGAAAATCTTAGACTCGACGAATAAGAAACGAGCAACAAGAAACACTCTCCTCGATTAGAAAAAATATTTCACGATCGTCAAACGAGCCTAATACCCACGAGTTTCGAGCCCTCGAATCGCTCTCCCTGAACGTTTCCCCTCGTAAGCGAAAATTTGCCCCGCGACTTCGATCCCCGTTGCCTGCTCGATCGCGATCGATACCTAGCACCCTAGGTCACGAAGAATAATCTACCAGAAATGTGCTTTTTTTTGGTGTCGCGTTCAGGTTATCGCGTCAGTCGGCTAAATTGCACGCCAAATACTGCGCTCGCGCAGACAAGGCTATTTCGCCAGGCCGTGGATACGGGAGTGCTGCATTCTCGAAACATCATCGACGAACCGAGCACTCGCTTCCTTCTGATCGGGGAATATCCCTGTCGCCCGCTAACTCGCCGATCATTACGGCATTTCTCCAACCCTCTACCGCTCGCCTCTACGTTTCTCCCGTTTCGTCCTCGCCACCGATGGATATACCTACTCGATCTCGCTTGTTGAATTCCGCGTCGACACTGCCTCGCACGTATCGCACCAACACAAACACGACGATTTTTTAATTTTCAACGAGCGCTGAAACCGTAAACAGGTCACTCGTCCCCCTCGTTCAGCCTGCTTGGACGTACCTCTTTCCTTCCAATCACTAGCCGAAGCTACACGAATCGAACGTTTCGCGCGTTCGAGAGATTAACTACTCGTTGGAAATTAGTTATCCGTTTCGGTGGAGGAGGATCGGCTAGGATAGAGGAGGGTGTCGAATGCTCGATAGCGTGCCGAGTGGATTGATACCGGCGGGAGCGAAGGATACGAGGTTTCGCGAGGCCGAGGGGTCGATGGAATGTGAATAAAATCGGTACTGTACCGGTTGAAATACTGGTCTTTCATCGACGCCGACGACTGGGACACGGAAGCTCGCAACACGGCTAAGGTTGGCTCTTGCTGGCTGGCTGGTTGGCTGACTAGCTGGCTGGCTGGTTGGCTGGCTGGCTGGCTTAACGTCCGACGAGAGATTCGGGTCGAACGTCGCGCAAGCTCGCTACACCCCCTTTCTTCTTCGTTTTCTCCCTTGCCCTCTCTCGTCCTCCCTTTCGCTTCTCCCTCGTTTTTTCAATTCTATTTTCTCTGTCAATCTCGTCGGTTTTTTTTTTGTTTCTTTTTTTTCTTTTTTTTGCTTTTCCTCCACGCGCACATTTCGCAGCCAGTCTCGCTTTCGACCACCCGCGAGCATTCCGCGCACCGTTTCTCGACCATGGTTCGAATATTTTTTTTCCGCTCGATGCGTTTTTTCCACGACCCTGTCCCGCCAGCGACGAGCCTGCAAACGTATCGATAACGGACATTAAAAAACGATCAAATACGGAAGGTCCGGCTAAATAAACGATGACTGTTTTACTTACCAATTATCCATTTTTTTTTTTTTTTTTTTTAAGAGAGAGAATGGCGAAGAGTTTCGATCGGTAGTTTTAAATGTACGATAAAGTGATTAAAATGAGAAACTTTGGTTCCGCGTTCGCACGTCGAACAATCGAACATATAAAATCGAGCGGCACAAAACTTGATGCTGTTAGAATATTACAACTAAAACTACCGCGACCGTTTATAAACTTTTCTACGGTTCGTGGAATATATAAATTATATGCAATTCTTTCGTGCAAGTCTTTGAGACCAGTCATTCGACCAATCGCGAAAAGAAAAAAGTACAAGTACAAATAAAATGTCGGTAGATTTAGCGTTAACATCGTTACAGAAAGTTCTTTTTATAATCACAATTGATTCGATAATCGCGCAGCATAAGATCTCTACAGCGAAACCAATACGACCGAAGGCTTGATTTTTACAGCGCGTTAACTAAGTAGCAAAAAACAAATACTTCTTCTACGCGTTAATTTACACGAGTCGCAGAAAGTTGGTCGAATATTCCAATGACGCAAACGTCGTTGGACGCAGAGGGTTAAAATCGGTAATCGAGGAACAAGAGACGCGTAAACAGTGGCCCGTGTCGACATTCAAACCGCAAACGGAACGATCGAATCGCAATCCTCTGGGACTAAGACCGGAATAATGAGTTCCGCTAATCAGGATGTAGTCAATCCGTCAACCCTTTCGAGTCGAACGGGGACTTTACGTCTTTCCCTCGAGTTCGTTTGTTCGACGAGGGTTCGTAGCGACGCAGTTAACGCGTCGCGAATATTTACAAATATTTATGGACGTAATCGCGTCGAAGGAGTAGGAGAGCCGGCAACGGGGGAGGGCGGCGATACGAAGAGGAGGGACAATCGATGCCGGAGAACCGAATTCGCGTACGATAGTAGCCTTCGAACGTAAACTATCACGCTACACCTACGAGAACATGGGAAAACTACCGAAAGCGTAGATAAGAAACATTCGAAAGCGGTGGTTATTCGTTTAAGAGTTTATTTACAAGTGGCAACAAAAATACTATCACCTCTTCCTGTATGATTATAGTACGTTTAATAACTTGCCAGATAAACAGGCACGTCAGAAAGAAATTTCGATCGACGTATTCAGCAAAAAAAAGGATTGCTCGGTGGTTTTTTTTTTTGTCCTTTTTTCTCACATTTTTCTCTCTCTCTCTCTCTCTCTCTCTTTCTCTTTCTCTTTAAATAGAAATTTTTGCAGAATCGTACGCTGAAACTACAATCTACAGTTCGTGTCTATGGTTCGCGAGCATCTCAGTAAGTAGCAACAAATCGTTTCGATCGGCGTTCAAACGTAAAAACGATCGCGTTGAAAGAAATGAAAAGGCGGGGGGAACATCCCTTTTTCCTACGGTAATGGTTGCACGCTCAACAGAAACATTTAACGAAGAAATTCGATGACAACTATGCGCCCGAACGGATGGTTTCCGTGAGGAACGAAAACGGCCCGTCTCGGTCCTATAAGCTTGTTTGCGGCACAAGTTTTACAGCTTGCAATCAATTTCTCAAACAAATTCGCTTACCAATGTCAGCAGCAACATCAGGACACACGACCCCTTCCTATCTTTGCGGCACCGAGGCGAACGACGCGAGCTGTTTCGATAACACTGTTCCCTCCTGTTGAGATTCGCCAGATTCTTTTTTTTTTTTTCCTCTTTTTAAATACGTTACGATATGATTTCAATCGAGATACTATGTCTTTTATAGATAATAGTCTTACAAGGATTACTCCCTCCTATGAATACGCAAAAGCTCCCGCCGTCTCCTCGTACATACATCGTTAAACGTTGGTAAAAACCATGAGAAAAGCATTCAATGAAGCGTGTATATACGCGCTTACACACAAACGCGCGCGAATGCATGCATATATATATATACATATATATATATATATATATATATATATATATATATATATATATATAT